GACAGAATTGTAACACTTCTATCAATGTATATGTTAAATATATCACACGATCCAGCACCTAATGGTGTTTTTCTTGCACACTTTCCTCGTAGAGGCAGTGTGGTGCTTGTCCTCTGGGTTAGCTGACTAGCCGTGATCCCAGGGCTTTGCTTCACATTTACCTTGGTGATTTCCTTGCTGGACCTTACCTTCCTCTATTCCGTGACTTCTTTGTTCTCTTTTAGAAGAGAGAAAGCATGAGAAAACAAGCATCTGAAGGAAAAGTCTCCTTTCCCCTCCTCTTTTTGAGAAGCACTCCTTGCTTGTGTTCTGTCTCTGTCTCTCTCAAAAATAAATAAACATAAAAAAAAAAAAGAAGTCGGGGCGCCTGGGTGGCGCAGTCGGTTAAGCATCCGACTTCAGCCAGGTCACGATCTCGCGGTCCGGGAGTTCGAGCCCCGCGTCGGGCTCTGGGCTGATGGCTCGGAGCCTGGAGCCTGCTTCCGATTCTGTGTCTCCCTCTCTCTCTGCCCCTCCCCCGTTCATGCTCTGTCTCTCTCTGTCCAAAAATAAATAAATGTTGAAAAAAAAAAAAATAAAAAAAAAAAAAAAAAGATGTCTTATGCCATTCTGATTCCTGGACTGATGATCAGTGACCTGCTTTTTGCCTCTCCTCTCTGGAGAAGTTGAGGAACTTCTTATGTGTGGTAGTTTTTTTTTTTTTTTTTTTAACCAATCTGGACACTCACCCTGGAAAAATCACCTCCTTCAGTTCTGGGATATTACTATTACTATTATTATTGTTGTTGTTATTATTTAAAGTTTATTTATGTATTTTGAGACACAGAGAGAGCATGTGTAATAGGGGCAGAGAGAGAGAGAGGGAGAGAGAGCATCCTAAGCAGGCTCTGTGCTGTCACCACAGAGACCTATGTGGGGCTTGAACCCGCGAACCGTGAGATCATCACCTGAGCCAAAATGAGGAGTCAAATGCTTAGCTGACTGAGCCACCCAGGCGCCCCTATGTTATTTTTTGGGATAATAAATAAAATTCTTTGTCCCCTCTGCTTCCTTGTTCTAGAAACACCATTGGTTCTAGAAAAACCCTCTGTTTTATCCTTTGTTCTATAGTTGTTTTCTCCTGTTTTCTACATCTTTGTATCTTTGCTCTCAATTCTGGTAGATTTCCATAAATTTTTAAATAAAATTAAAAATTTTAATTTTCCACAGATTCATTCTTTTTAAAATAGTATTTTTTTTTCATAGGTGAAAATTCTTCTCTAATCTTTCCTAAGATACTAATTATGGTTTTTTTTAAGTATTAATTTGCTTCCTGCATTGTCCTGATTTCCTTTATCCTCTTTGTTTTGGAATCTTTTTGTAATGTGAGAAGCTTTCCTCAAATGTTTGGTGATTTGTGGCTGGTCTTCCTCTTTGACAGTGAGGCCTAAGAAGTCGACTGGAAACTGTGTCTGTGGCAGCTTCCTTTTGGTTGTTATGTGGGACCCTGCTTTCTCGTTGGGGGTCTCCCTAATCCTCAAATGACAGTATTGTGTGTCTTTCCTGGCACACGCCAGGTTCACCAGAGGGGAATCTGCTAGTCTCCTGCCTGAGTGATAAATGCCTAAGCCTCAGTTCAGGGAGGTGAGATGGGAAGGGGGTGGAGGTCTCAAGGCTGAGTATCTGGACTCATGTTTAATTTTCTTCTCCATTTTCAGCACAGAGCCTTAGTGCGACTGGTATCTTTGAACGTGGAGTTGTTCTGGTTCAGTGTGTGTGTGTGTGTGTGTGTGTGTGTGTGTGTGTGTATGTGTGTGTGTTTTGAAGAGGAAAGCCTCCTGCTGTCATGGGAGGGTCTAGGATCTAGTTAGCTCCTAAAATATACTTCTAAACATTCCTCTTGATTCCAGCCTTGCCCCACACCCCTACATCCAGAGATACCTGCTATCTCCAGTTGCAGAGCCTTAGGGGGTTTTATAGTGAAACACAGCTTAATTCTTGTCTTCCCCCCTGCAGGCAACCAGGCTCTCTCTTGGCTCTGCTGAATGACCACCCTTCCATCTGCTTCCCTTTCCCAAAATGTTTCGTACACTAAATCTAGTTTCCTGATACATTTATCCTTGTGTGATTATACACATTTCCCCTATATTGCCATTGTAGTAAGGTTTGGGGAGGGAGTAGAACTAAAAATGCACATCCTGAGTCCTCCATCTTTAACAAGAAGTTTATCTGTAGATGTTGTTTGTTTTGGGTAGAGAAGAGGGGATAAAGACTAAATAAAAATATGGACCTGCTCTTTCCAAATTATTCCTATTTAGTCAGGGGCCTGATGGTTATGCTGATTGGTCCTCAAGAGTTCTTCCACTGCCTTTCCAGCCCAGGACAGCTTCCATGCCTCACTGCCCTCACCCCAGCCAGACAACAGGATGCTGTTAGGTGCCGAGTGCCAGAAAGCTGCGGGCTCTATGTTCCCATCATGCTCAGCTCATTTGGAAGCAGCCTTCTCTCCCCAGGAAGTGCTCAGAGGCAACATTCCAGAAGGGCTGCAAGCATCCTTCTGCCTAGCCCTGCTCCGAGACTACAGTGCTGGGTCTAATACAGAAAGATTGACTGCAAGTAGGCCCATAAACCTTAGTTTAGTCTTTTATTTTCAGGACCTCAGTTTCTGCGTCTTTAGAATGGGGTATTGAACTGACAACGTCCTCAGGCGTTTTTTAGCTTTGATATCCTAAGATTATATTCACATGGAAGAAAGTAAAAGACAAAACCAAAAACCAACCCATCAAAACAGTATAAATATGTAGTCAGATACCATCAAGTTATCAATTTTTTGCTGCATTTTTATTATACAATAGTGAGGGCTGTGACTCTTTCTTTCAAAGACCTTGCCACATGGTAGGGAGGTAAGTCAATATAAAGAACTCATTTAAGATAGAAAGTGGGAGGGCCTACTGGAATGCAATAGAGAATATACTGTGAACACAGAGGAGAGAGATGATTTCCAACTGAGGAGCCCTGGGAAGGCTTCATGGAGGAGGTCTTCTGTTTGAGACACAACTAAAGTAGGGGATAGAACAGTCTCTGAAACTATACCTTCCCATGTGAGTCATGAAAAGCCATGACTAGGATCAGACCCAGGTGGAGGTTGAATGTGCCTAGGGGGAGACTGGCAAGAGAAAGATGACAGGTGAGCCCAGAGCAGCAGCATCTGGAATCAAGGAGACCCAACATGGCGGTATCCCAACAGGTTGTCACAGGGGCTATCAGGAGCAAGTGATAGAGATTGAGGCAGGCAAGCAGCATTCTAAAAACCCGTTGGCAGGGAACGTGGTGTTAGCCACCACACTGAAGTTCAGAAGCAAGGTTCAAAGTGAGGAACATCTTCAGTAGGGTGGGTTTTGCCAATAGCAAAGCAGGCTTCCACTCACAGAGGAACCAATGAGCCAGTCGGGAACCCCAGCAGGGACTCAGACATAGGCCAAGAGACCAGTGTCTGGTGTCTGCTGGACCCAAACAGTGTTGTGGGGGGATTGATTCTTGGGAGTAAGATCAAGACTCAGTGTTGGATTGAGGTACGGTTGAGCAGGACCATGGCAATGTTGAGTCCAAGAACACGAGGAGTCTTCTTAGTTTTGGGACAAGACATGGGCTTGTTGGGGGAGGCAAGGGGGAGCAGCACGTAAAAGCACTCATCTAAGAGAAATTGAGGGAAGGTGGGAATCATTTGAGGTGCTCAATGAAGGATGTGGATGGAAATCAAGAATAAGGGCATTCTAGAATGATAGCAGAATTAAAGAAGAGAGGTTGACCATGGGGGAGGGG